TCCTTAAAATAATTTTTTTGGCGAATTTTAATTGACCGTATCTATATTTGTACCATATGTTTCTCTACCCCCTTATTGCGTTCGTGATCTCTCGCATTCCCCCAAAATGCATTTTTTGTACCCATCCATCCATCTATCTGTTTTGCACATCTCCGATTTCCATTATTGTTCGCCGTCGATCCACATAACCAATTCACCACCATTTCACCGTTAATAAACTTCATTTGTGGAATCTCTAACAAACCCAAATTATCATACAACATTTTTCTGGTCATAAACATGAAGAAAACAAAACTAAGAATGATAATCATGATGATGATTGACGATTTCAAAAAAACAACCTTCAATGATATCCTAAAAAAAATTAAAACAAAACCCAAAACTGTTTACAGTCTTCGCCACTTGCTAATGATGTGATAATCCAAAGAATTGGAGATATAAAACCAGGACGACAAATAATAGCCAATAATAGCCTTGGCAAAACAACGATTATCCACTCAACACTTCCAGTTGAATTGAAAATGTCATCAACGTCGAATACGAACACTACGACATCTACGGCGGCAGCTTGTTCTACCAATGCAATAACAACAATTGCATCAACGGTAAATTCCTCGCAGTCATCGTCATCGTCGCATACGGGTACAACAACATCCATTGTTGTGCCCCACCACCAACAGCAGCAAACTATTTTACCACCAACATCAGTTTCTGTTGCAACATCTGAAGGAAATCTAACTATACGTCACGTTGCTGGACCACCACAACAACAACATGTTCAAATTCAGCAACAACAACATGTACAACATCTTCAACAGCCGCACCAGCAACAACACCATCAACATGTTGCTGCAGCTACAACAACACCGGAATTGCTGGTGACAACATCTGGTGGTTCAACACATACAACCACAAGTTCCACGCTACCAGCCGGCGGCACCATTTTAACAAACAATTCACAAAATGTAAGATACTGTCCTTCCTAGAAATGTGGGCTTTAGTATATATACAATTGAACAAACATATAGTTTTATTGGGACCCACATAGCTGAAGATCTGAGATTGATCCCTGCCCAATTAGTTGAGCTTTAAATTTTCTGAAATCATTACAAATGTATTATTATACAGAGAGAGAGGGAGAGAGAGGTATACAATTGGAAATTACATTGTAATTGGAAAAACTAATTGGAAACTAATTAGAAATAATTAGTGTAACAGTTTTTGGATAAAAATTTGGCTTAAGGCTTAAAAAACTATAAAAAAAAATTAAATATTTTTAATTCAATTTCACCCTTTTTATTAATTCTTTTCAATTACAAAAAATTTGAATTCTAAACACGCAGTGTGAGTGTAATCCCACCCCCTACATAATTACTTCCTATATATATGCCCTTTCCTTTTTTATTTATTATTTGAAAATTTCCCGAAACATAACCTATAAATAATGATGCCATTTTTTATTTTACAGTTGGGTAAATATTGGGTTGTAACGAATTTATTTCAAGGACAACCTGGACAACCACATCCCACAACAACTGTTGCCTATAGCAGTGATAGTGGTGCACCAATAACTACAGGTGGTGTCACATATACACAAACATCTATAGCCGGAGTGCCTTCATCGACACTTATACGTGCAATATCAACTACAGCGGCAGCTGGAGGAGGAGCCGGTTCTTCGTCATCATCATCCGCGGCAACATCATCATCAGGGGTAACAAAATCAGAAACGGTAACAAGTAGCAGTGCTGGATCACTGCATATACCGGCAACACAAATGTTGTCACAGGCTGCCATAGGGCAACAATTGCCAAATGGTACCATCATAACGACACAGGCTGCTCAGCAGCAACAGCAGCAGCAGAGACATGTTGCTGAACATCAACAACAACAACAGCAACAACAACAACAATTACAACATGTACATGGTAAGTAATTTTTTGGATAAATTTATCGCCTGCATTAATTCATTTTTCGCCCAATCATTTTTTGTAGCGATCATATCATAGCTTGAGAATCTTAATGAAATAACTTGAATTTTGGAAGATTGATTCAAACACAACTTTATTAAATTCATTTATACCCATTAAAAGCACTAACCCATTCGTAGGCATTTTTCGAGTTACTGTAAAATACATTTTTTTAATTCAAAGTCTGTAAATATTAAGTCATTCTACGGTAGGCCACAGCTATCCAACTTAGTAAAAAACCATTGAGCGGAGTAGTATAATCGGATAAGCCGGTCATATGATACCTTACACAACTACCATTGGAGTCTAAGTTTTTTCGAATCTATATTCCGGCAATATTTTGCAAAAAAAAATCCAGAGGTCTTTCAGCTAAACAACATCACAACGACAACATTATTTTGGACCAAAAAAGACACAACAAATATTTCGCGTCAAGAGCTGCACTTTCGGTTGATTTGACCCGCGGAATATTGTCCGATCATCATCTAAACAGCCGTTCTATGTATTTGGTCTGCATATAATAATGACCTCTAGACTAGAAAATGTGAAAAAAAAGTTTTCGGTTCATTGCTGGCGATCTTGTGTGCAGTTTTTCCAATTTGAATGACCATATTCTTCCCTTAGATTTCGTGGCCTCGCCCTTCTACGTGAACCATCAGTTGGCTCGCTTTTATATGCCTTTTGAGCATCCATATCCATTCACACAACATAGTCTAGCCACCGTAGTCGCTGCAGCTCCATACGTCTGATTATGTCGGTGTCCAAGAATAGACGGCGATATTCACCGTCTACGTAGATCGGAGAATTTTTTTAAACACTCAAAGAGGTGCCTCAACAGCTTGAGCAAGTACCCATGCTTTAGATCCATTCAACAGCACGGGTAGTATCAGCGTCTTTAAAGTGCGAGTTTGCATAGCTGGCTTGAACATTTGTGCCATAAGCCGAGCTTAAAAAAGATTTCCAGGCGCGTCGATCTTGGGCTCAGTTTTTCTATTTGAAAGATCATGTTTTGATATGCCATCCTCCACTTGATCTTTCCATTGAATTCGTGGCCTCCCCTTCTACTTGAACCATCAGCTGGTTCGTTTTTATATGCCTTTTGAGCTGGGGCATCCTCATCCATTCGCACAACATGACCTACCCAACGTAGTCGCTCGCTGCAGCTCGATACGACTGACGAAAATAGATACAACTCAGGTACAACTCATGGTTCATTCGACGGCGAAATTCACTGTCGACGCAGATCGGTCCCATATATCTTTCGGAGAATTTTTCTCCAAGAGTTGACTCATCTGCTTGCGCATGTACCCATGCTTCTGACCTATACACCAGCAGCACGGGTAGTATCAGCGTCTTGTATAGTGTGAGTTTGGTCTGGCGAGAGATGGCCTTGCTTTTGAGTTGCTTACTCAGTCCATATTTCATAACTGATGTCATTAGTTTTATTTATGGCGATACCACCAAGGTATATAAAATTTTTGACTACCTAGAAGCTGTAGTTCTCAAGTTCCACAGTTGCTCTGAGTCTACTGGACGTCTTGGGCATTGATACCATCAGCTTGGTTTTCTCGCCATTTACTGCCACCAGATCCACGTTTGGCATGCCCCTTCTCAATTAGTTCAAAGGTGGCTGTTACCGCTCGCAATGTTCGACCCATTATGTCGATGTCATCGCCAACATTTGTTGTTTGGTGTACAGAGTGCCATTTATGTTCACCTTTACCTCTCGTATGACCTTTTCCAACAGGATGTTAAAGAGGCCACACAACAAGTTGTGGCCTTGTCTAAATCCTCGTTCGGTATTAAAGGACAACGAGAAGTACTTTCCGACATTAACTGCTGACTATGTACCAGTTATTATTGCAGGAATATCGAACGCAAACATGGCTTTAAACACCTCTGAACGGATAGGGCTGTCTAATGCGGCTTTATAGTCGACGAATAAGTGCTATGTGCCGATATGCTTCTCGTGGGTCTTTTTGGCACAGAGTGAAAATCTGGTCAATGGTGGATTTGCCAGGTCTGAAGCCGTATTGGTATGGTCCAGTAATGTCATTGACCATTGGCTTCAGTCAGTCGCTCACACAGCGCGCTGGACAGCACTTTATATGCGATGGGAATACGACGTATTCCTCTATAGTTGACACATATTGTCTTGTCTCCTTATTTTGTGCACGGGACACAAGTTGTGAAGGTTCCAATCATTGGTCATGCATTCCTCTAGCCAAATTGGACTAATCAACTGGTGCATGATTCTGACCACCGAACTTGAATAGTTGGGCTGGTAATTCATCGGCACCTGCTGCTTTTTTATTCTTTAGGCAATTAATTGCCATTCTGACATAATCTTGGCAATCACAAATAAGACTTATGTAGAAGAACTTCGCTTTTATACGGATTATAGCAATTCGCTCATCTAATGGAGTGAATCTGGAGACGAGGTCTTTGCTTCTCCTGTTAACCATAAATCCGCAGCCAAATTGTCTTGTTTCATGGCATCTATGTGTGCCTGTGTTTTGTATAAAAAATACTTTCAAAATATCGAAAATAGGATCTACCGTAATATCTTATTGCTCCGAGTACAGCAAAATTGCCTGATATTATATACTTCGATTCCGCATGACAGAATAATTTGCAGGCTTAAGTTAGATGTCAAGAAAATTCTAAATCGGATCAGTGTTTACTATATCAGGCTTGCGTTTGTTTGAAAAAATATAGGGTCACAGAAAGGTTATTAAAAGCGAATTTAATTTATATTGACATTTGCTAGGGGATCAATTGTAATTTAAAAAATTATTGTGTAATAATACATATAATAATCATAACATTTAAGATGCTTGCTTTCAAATAAATAATACACCCTTAACTTCTTCCTTTCTAAACGCAATCCTTTATTAATTCATTATTCACAAATTATTAAACTCTCACAAGGAAAATCGCAACCATCCGCCTTTTGGCTTTATGACACGTTTATAAAAACATTATATTTCTCCACTTTACTTAGCTCTAAATGCAGCTGAAGAGAATCGACAACAACAACAGCAGCAGCAACAGCAACAAATTGCCCAGCAGCAGCAACAACAACACCATCAACAACAGCAGCAACAACAACAACATGTTACTGTCCAGCAACCAAACGATGCAATAAAGGATGAAAAACCCTCCTTCATTACGAATGGTAAAATTCCCACCAGTAATCAACAGATAATAATGCAGCATATATCCTCGGCTGCATCGACAGCAACGCCATCCACATCGGGCGCCACCACAATCACATTGGGCACACCCAAAGCGGAAATCAAGGATGACGGCAGTGTTGTCATCGGTGGCAAAATTCACCCTGGCATTGAAATGTATAAAGTTAATATGGAAGATATATCACAATTGTTCGCCTATCATGAGGTCTTTGGTAAGATACACAGCGATGTTATAAATCATCCATTGGCAGCGGCACATGCTGGTATACCAGTTTCGGCCAATAGCAGTATCGTAGCACCGGCTGTTGCGGCTGCCAGCAGTAATGCCAATGAAACGCAACAACAACATCAGCAGCAGCAACAACAACAGCAACAGCAAGCCGGTGGCACGGCTGTGGTGGCGAACAGCGGCACCAATATGGCTCAGCAGCAGACAACCGAATCGACCATAACCACAACGGCAACTGGCACTGGAGTTGTGGCTACCACTAGTGCAGCCACTGCAATTGCGAATACCACTGGCACGGCCGTGGCCACCACAACAGCTGGCGGTGCAGCAGCTGGTCTACTGCTGCCCAAAATGGAGGGTGGCATTGCTGTCGATCAAAGCCAAATCACTTTGGCACCCGATGGAACGGTCGTCTCCACCGGCGAACATGTCTGTGACATTTGTGGCAAAATGTTCGCCTTCCGCTATCAGCTGATTGTGCATCGTCGCTATCACACCGAACGCAAACCGTTCAATTGTCAGGTTTGCGGTCAGGGTTTCTTTTCCTCACAGGATCTGACGCGTCACGGTAAAATCCACATTGGTGGTCCCATGTTCACCTGTGTCGTTTGTTTTAATGTTTTCGCCAATAATGCCTCGCTTGAGCGTCACATGAAACGGCATTCGACCGATAAGCCCTTTGCCTGTACCATTTGTCAAAAGACATTTGCCCGCAAAGAACATTTGGAAAATCATTTTCGATCGCATACCGGCGAGACTCCCTTTCGTTGTCAATATTGTGCAAAGACATTTACACGCAAAGAACATATGGTGAATCATGTGCGCAAACATACGGGCGAGACGCCACATCGTTGCGATATTTGTAAGAAATCATTTACACGCAAGGAGCACTATGTTAATCATTATATGTGGCACACTGGTAAGTTAGAAATTTAGATATCCAAAATATATTTTTTAAATTCTCTTCTATTGCCCATTTTTATTTATAGGTCAAACTCCTCATCAGTGTGAAGTGTGCGGCAAGAAATATACACGCAAAGAACACTTGGCCAATCATATGCGTTCGCATACCAACGATACGCCCTTCCGTTGTGAAATCTGTGGCAAAAGTTTCAGTCGCAAAGAACACTTTACCAATCATATTTTATGGCATACAGGTATGTATTTATGGAATCGCTAGGAAAGAAGAAGAACAAGTATTTTCTGATATTATATATTGGTATTTTTCTGTAAAGGTCCAATTAAAATACAATCGATATTAAAAGAAATGAAAAATAACAGACAACAATATTTAGTAAACGGTACCCTCTTCTTTTTTTATGTGATGTTAAGGGACCCGGGTCCTAGAAATTTCGGAAAATTATCTCATCGGTAACACGGTTTATTTTATGTTTGCAAATCTACACTTAATTATCTAAATCATATTTTGATTTTTATTATTTTTAATGATATTAGAAACAATACAATACAGTTTATATATCGAATTTCTGCTCTATATACTCTCATTGAAATATACATACAAAAGGATCTTGTTGCGTTTTCGAAAACAATTTTTAACATTAAAAGACAATGTGCTTCACTATTAAATCACATTAATTTGTTGCATCGAAAAATTTAAATCTTCTTATTCTTATTCGTTGCCCAGTACAGCATTCTTCCAAAATCAAGTTATTACATTGAGATATAGGATTTATAAATATTGAAAGAGATATAGGATATTGATATATTCTTTTGATTCAGGAGGTAAACTATATGGTCCAATACACATATTATTACCAATGCATAAGAAAACATTTTTTAATCGAATGGAAGTTCTTTCAGATTTCATTCTGTATGAGTCATTCTTTAGTAAAAAACGTAATGCTTTATATCCAAGGATTCGGAAACGGTTTAGATAATTTGTATATGTGTCTTAGGTCGCCGCCAGAGTTTCATTATCTGTTTCATAGGAGCTTAGAAAGATATCGTTTATATTTTACACTTGATTTAGGTGGAGTATGAAAAAAAGTGAGGGTGTGTGGGAAAAAATTGTCAAATGTCACAAAAAGTGTTTGAACAAGGAAGATGTTCTGATTTAACTACTCCCTCCCAGGATTTTGTTGCTTTTGATGAAGCTCATAGATGTAGTTAGTCATTGTGGCTAAATATGGAAATATTTTAACACTTTAGTGGATGACTAGATTCAATTTGAGTTATTTTCATAGCTCAATTATTTAAATCCTTAATGTCTGTTCCTCAAATCTGGGGTATATTAGATCGGACCGACTCATTGTGTTGTACTGATGTTGGTAAATTTTTATTTCAATTCAGATATTCAAATATCAGGTCTTTATTGAGCTGTCAAAGACAGTCTCATGGTGACGAGAACAGAAATACGGGATTGGCCAGTTAGAAAGCCTTGGTCTTAGCCAGCCATGGAAAGCATGTCTAAGCCTTCTTCAAGGAGAGTCAATTTCTTAGGTTACGGAAGTTTGTTAACGATTCAAATTATAATTTCAGTACTATTTATTATAATATTTATTTACCCGATCGTCTTATCTATTAGGTTTTTTACATATTTTTCATATTACTGAATACTGCATAGCATAGCCTCCTGGCTACTTTTGGGTGAGATTTTGGTTCTTTATCTATGTCAGATCTCATATTGTCTTCCAGGGAGATCTAGTCAGAATTTCAAGATTTTATGGATGATTCCATGGTCCATAACATTCATAAAGTAATGGGAAGATAAATTAAGCCGCAAATACTCCCGACTACATATATCCAGAGGAATCCATATCAATTTGAAAAAGTTGCTATGGCGGAAAGACGCTGCTTGACTCGTGGGCAGATAAACCACATCTTAGGGACTGTCTGAGGGTGTCGTTACCAGGGTGTTCTAGTTAGAATATCAAGATTTTACGGATTATTACATGACCCATATTCTTCTTCTCTTTTTCTTTTTTTCCCTCCAAATCTGAGGAAGTGACGGGGCGGCAAATCTTAAAGTCGTCCGTATGCATTTGGCCCCTATATAGGGAATAAATTCGTCGTGGGTTTAACAATATGACCGCGATTGTCTCTTCACTATAGATTCGTAAGCATCCACGTCTATAGTTAATCTGCTCTCGCAGATTAACGACATCCTCAGACATTGGATGATAAAGGAATTGTACAATGAGTTGTATTTAATATACGACTTCCTCCATGTTTAGCTTCAGTAGTTAGTTTTAATCCGTGGGGGTTTAACCCGCTGCAGGTGGGTCAGACTTTCTATGCTCCACCTGGGTGTTGAACTCGTTGAAGGTGGGTCTGACTATCCTATTACCGTTCTATTTTCCTCCCGGGTGCGCGTCTTTTGGAAGACAAACATTTCCTTCCTAAAGATATATGAAGCGATAAATAAATAGAGGAGAAGAATAATTAAAAAAGATATGTAGTATTAAAAAAAGCAGGATGTAGTAGAATTTTGTATCAGGAATTGATAGTATTGGGAGGTAATTGTTGGCAAATCGAAACAGGGGAGAATACATATCAGCTATTAGACTGTGTTGTAATATCTTCCCCATTAAACAATTGTTTGTTTCAATTTGCCTTCTATCACCTTTGCAACCCACTGAATTGTTGATCAAATTTAATTGAATATTCAGGGACCATTTCCGTTAGATAGCTATGAGTTAATGGATTTCCAATAGATATTAGACTATATTCTTTCTTTAACTCTACAGAGTCTCCCATGGCAAAATTATTAAATGTCAATGGAATGTTCAGTTATATTAAACTTAAGGTATTCGTCCCCATCTTCGTGATAATTGCGAACATATTGTATATAGAGATCGATTGTTAAACATATAAATAGTCTTCTTCAGTCTATTTCATATATCGTCACGTTAAATATATAAACAAACATATCTAATAGCTTGCTCTATTTAATGTCTCTCCCTTAAAAACCAACTAATACGTTAAATAAATAACTTTAAAATCTATTGAATTTTAATTGGATGATCAGAAAGGAAAACAAAATCATCATCTACATTTAATATTTAAAATATTTTGTTTAAGAATATAAAATAAAATAAAAAAAAAACAATAACGTTTGAACAATACCCTTTCTCTCTACTTCTGTCTCGCTAATTGCAGGCGAAACACCCCATCGCTGTGACATCTGTTCGAAAACATTTACGCGCAAAGAACACTTATTAAATCATGTGCGACAACATACGGGCGAATCGCCGCATCGTTGCACCTATTGCCCGAAAACGTTTACGCGCAAAGAACATCTAACCAATCATATACATCAACACACCGGTGAGATAATATCCATCCAATAATGCAATTCTGTTTAAAAAACAAAAATAATTAAAAATAACAAAAAACAAATATTTTTTTAAATGGTGGTAGTTTTGGTATTTAAAAAAATGTAGTACTTAAGTTTTGTATTTTAAATTAATTGATTTTTAAAGTACTTGTATTGAAATTTATTGTTTTTTTATTAAATTTAAAACGAAAAAAACTCCCACCATTAGCTTTGAATATTGAACCATTTTATCCTAAATGTCATAAGCTAAATTCCTCATAATATGGTATTAACCTTTTTTATTCTATTGTATTTTAATTGGATAGATAGGGGCCTGTGTGTGATATATAACAAAAAATTTCTACTTTATAGTGATTTTGTTTGATATATATTTAAATAGAACTCTAGACGAAAACAATTTTGTTCTGAAAAATTTCTATAAATTCATTTTATTGGGAAGGATAATTCTGTTTGGCAAATTCGAGGAGAATTGAAGCCCGAATTACGAATTTTACGTAATATAGATAATCAGGCATGTGATTTTGATAGCATAGATCGAACCATAAGTAGAATTTTACCCTAAATCCGTTTGGAAAGCGTGTCCAAAAAATTTTTGGTTAGTTAACGACCGAAATAAAGTAGTCGTTAAGCCCTAGAGACAGTAGGTTAGCTTCAATTATATTTTTTACATAAACAATATGTGTTCTAATTTTACTAGTATTTGTCGCTGACACAAAAAAAAGTTACCGAATTTCACTACTAATAGCCATTGAAAAAAATTGAAAAATCTTGAAAAATATTTTTTACATATTAAAATATAATTGTATTCAATTTCAATGCAGTATCATAGGGATCAATAATATTTCTTTTTATTTTATTTATTTGTTCCAAAATGCTATTTGAAGCCATTAAGGCCGATTTCAATTAAATTGAAAACTATACTATTATACTATAATACTCCACATTTTCCGATCTCTATTAGAAAACGAAAATCAAATTATTTAAATAATATATCACACAAGCCCCCTTAACCATACAAATAAATTTCGTTCAGTTTCTTTCGTTTCATTTCTTTTTTAATTTCAACTCTTTAAACGATAATAATGATTAATGTGGTCCTTGCACATCCTTTCCTTCTTTTCGCTGGTTTTTTCTAGGCGAAACTCCTCATCGTTGTGATTTTTGTTCAAAAACGTTTACGCGCAAGGAACATTTATTAAATCATGTGCGACAACATACAGGCGAATCACCACATCGTTGCACCTATTGTATGAAAACGTTTACACGCAAGGAACACTTGGTCAATCATATACGACAGCATACGGGCGAAACTCCATTCAAGTGCACCTATTGCACTAAGGCTTTTACCCGCAAGGATCATATGGTAAATCATGTACGCCAACACACCGGTGAATCACCGCACAAGTGTACATTCTGTGCTAAGACATTTACGCGCAAAGAACATCTAACAAATCATGTACGTCAGCATACGGGTGAATCGCCACATCGTTGCAGTTATTGTAAGAAGACGTTTACGCGCAAGGAACACTTGACGAATCATGTGCGCCTGCATACAGGCGATTCGCCGCACAAATGTGAATATTGTCAGAAGACATTTACGCGCAAGGAACATTTAAATAATCACATGCGTCAGCATTCAAGCGATAATCCGCATTGTTGTAACGTTTGCAATAAGCCATTTACGCGCAAAGAACATTTAATTAATCATATGTCACGTTGTCACACGGGCGATCGTCCATTTGCCTGTGAGACATGTGGCAAATCGTTCCCACTTAAGGGTAATTTGCTCTTCCATCAACGTAGTCATACGAAAGGACAGGAAATGGAGCGGCCATTTTCATGTGAAAAATGTCCCAAGACATTTATTTGTAAAGGTAAGTCAAAAAGCAAAAAAATGTATTTTTTTAGAAAGTGAGGTTAAGTTTTGTCAACGATTTAAACCATTATAAAAATATTCCTGACTAAATATACCAGACTTCCAGTCCTTTAATAGACCTTAAACATAAATTTTAAACTATTCAAACCGAACATCTCACAATTCGTGACAACAAATTTCGGCCTTTTGATAATTCCTTAAGAATATTTGAATATTTTGAAAACATTATAAACATATTTCTTGCTAAATATAACAGACTTCAATACCTTTAATATATCTAAAAAATTTTAAACTATTCAAACCCTTGAAAACTATATCAGCATTTTGATAATCCTTTAAAAATATTAGAAATATATTCCAGACTATTTTTTAGAAAGTGAGGTTATGATTTTTTTTGACAATTTAAGAAATTAAAAAGTATTCCAGGCTTTGTAGATATTTTTTAATTTACCAGATTTTAAAAAATATTCCATCAAGGCCTTTAATAGACCTTAAAAGAAAAGAAAGTAGGGTTATGTTTGGTCAACAATTCAAGCTATTGAAAACTATTTCTGTCTATATATACCAGACATCGAGTCCTTTAATGTACCTTAAAAATAAATGTTTAAATAGTTAAACCGCACATTTCATAACCCTTGAAAACATATATCAGCCTTTTGAAACTTGACCTTAAGAATGTTTGAAATATTATGTATTATTTTAGAAAGTGAGGTTATGATTTTTTAACAATTTTAATTATATATATATCTTTAACATACCATATTCCAGGCAGATTCAATCCAATCATCTCATAGCATTGAATACATATTTCGGCCTTTCGATAATCCCTTTAGAATTTTTGAAATATATATTCCAGACTTATGATAGCTCCTGAAAAAATATTCCAAGCTTCTGATAGCCCCTGGAAAAAAATACGATACTTTTGAAAGCCTGGTGTGTTCCCGTCTGCTATTAAAATCTAATTTTTTATACTCTTGGAAAAACTATTCTTTATTCTAGACTCAATTCAGTATGCCATACCAAAATTTGTGCAAATCGAATAATATCCACTTTGTTGCACCATTTACATTAAATCGGACGAAAATATATGTGTGAATTATATCTAAGTCTGAACCGATTTTCAGGAAACTTAACACACATCATTCTAGATTTTATTCAGTACGCTATGCCAAATTTCGTTCAAATCGAGAGATATATAGGGGCTTTGATGCACCATTAACATTTAATCGGTCGAAAATATATATGGGATCTATATCTAAATCTGAACCGACTTGTACGAAACTTAGCACACATCATTCTAGACTTCATTCAGTATGACATACCAAATTTCATGTAAATCGAAAGATATATAGGAACTTTGGTGCATCATTTACATTTAATCGGTCGAAAATATATATGGGATCTATATCTAAATCTGAACCGACATTTACGAAACTTAGCACAAACCATTCTAGACTTAATTCAGTATGCCATACCAAATTTCATGTAAATCTAAGGTTACATTATTTACATAAAATCGCACAAAAATATATATGGGAGCTATATCTAAATCTGAAGCGATTTTTCCCAATTTCAAAAGGATTTGTTCTTGGGCCAAATAAATGAGCTATGCCAAATTGTATCCAATTCGGATCATAAGTGCGACCTGTAATTTGTTTACAATTTAATATAGACTGACATACGGACGGAAGGACATGCATAAATCGACTTAGAAAGTGATTCTATGCATATTCTCAAAAGGAACAGTTTTAAAAAATTTATTCTTCTTACAGTTTTTTAATATTCTTTAAAATTAAATATATTTAGTTTTTAATCTGAAATAAATATTCATTTGTTTTCTTTGTATCCTTCCTCTCCTCTAGGTCATTTGGTTTCTCATATGCGTTCTCATTCCGGTGAGAAACCACACGCTTGTACATTATGCAGTAAGGCTTTTGTGGAAAGGGGCAATCTGAAACGTCATATGAAAATGAATCATCCAAATGCTCCAATGCCACCTCCACCAGTGCCACATCCGATAATACCAGCCGGTGTTTTGCCGCAGATAAAACAAGAAATCAAACCAGTTTTAAGCGAGCTGAGTAAGTACAGGGATACAAAAGAGAAATAGGGCAGAACAACAACTAACATGCGACTCTTTTTTTGCAGCTCCTTTACAAACAGCTCCCATTGCCCATACTATACAACAGATAACAGCTGGTGCTGGTAATACAGTGCAATTGACCACAGGACTGGTGCCTTTGGTAACATCAACTATAACATCGCATGCCACGCAAAAGCAAGCACCTCCACCACAGCAAACACAGCCGGCGGCCCAGGCACAGCAGCAGCAACAGTTGCAACAACAGCAGCAGCAACAAGTGGTGACCAGTCACCAGCAACAACAACAGCAGCAGCAACAGGCTGCAGCAGCTGCCGCCGTGGCTGCCCATCAATTGCAACAACAGCAGCAGCAACACCAACATCAGTTAATGCAGTTATCATTGCAACAAGCAGCTGCTGCTGCGGCAGCTCAACAACAATTGCAACAACACCAGGAACAGCAGAGGCAACATCATCAACAACAACAGCAGCAGCAACAACAACAGAATCAACAACAAGCTCATCATCAGCAAGCAGCTAGTAATGTTGTTGTAACCTCCGCTCATCAAGCAAATCAGCAACAACAGCAGGCAACTCAACAACAGCAGCAGCAACAACAAGCCCAACAACAACCACCACCACAAGTGCCAATCGCTTTAATACAAGATCCCGAATTGGCTCGTGCTGCCATGCAACAATTGCAACATATGCCGCCGCCTAATGTCGAACAGCATCCGGTTGTTTACTAACAACAAAAGCAAAATGCCAATATCATAATATGGTAATGTGGCAAGGATAATAATAATAAAACGACATTTTTTTTTTGGTTTTAAAAGAAACAAAACAAAAAATCAATAACAGCAACAACAAAACTAATAATAATATTATTATAAATAATATAAAGTGAAAAAAATAGGGGAATGATCATGTGATTTTCTTTAGGATTTTATGTGAATACAAAATAAGAGTTGTTTCCGGAACATTTATTTCTTTTTGTTATAAATTTTTTCCTTAATTATATTTTTATTTATTTCCTTTATTTTTTTTGTATTTATATAAGTATGTGAGATTTTGAGGATACTTAAATTTGCTGCTTCAATTTTTATTTTTATAAATTTTCCCAGAATTATGTCCTACGTAATTTTATGGAATATGTCAATGGATTTGCATCTTAATGTTAAAATATAGAATATTTCAAAACTCCGGAAATATTTTCAAAAATTTTTAGAATTAAAGCTGCATTGAAATATCACTTTGGCATGGGTGCATGCATTTTTATAAAACAATTTTTTCAATGAATATTTTAATGAAAATTTAAAAATGTTGTATGCTTTCAAAATAATTTATTCGTCATGAAAACCTGTGTCGATGTTAAATTTCACATAATTATATATTTACATATTTTTATATACATTATAATTCACAAATTATTACAAACAAAATCTTTTTAAACAAATTTTATGATTTAAAAAATCATTTGTGCAATTCACCGCAATTCTTTTCAGTTAAAAAGAAACATGTAGCTGGGCTACCTTACACAAATCTATTACAAATGGAATATGTTTCAAAGAAACATGGATTTGAAAGGTTCTTAATTAGGAAACCAACCCCCCTTTAATTATTTCAGACAAAAATAAATCCTCAAGAAAATCATTTATTCCCCCTTTTGAAAACTTTAAATAGGCTTTACAAACATATATTTATATAAAATAAAAATATATATTTTACATACACTATATATGTAATACAGAAAAAGTAAAAAACAAAAAACTATTAGGATTTAGAATTAGAAACACACACACAATCCCCCCTAACAATCCCCATTAACATTAACTTTTAATAATAATTGATAAACAAACATAAAAACACAACCCCAGCCTAAACAATGTAATTCTGAATTAACTTCAGTAGAATATAAAATTATAAACATTAATATATTATTAATAATAACAACACATATAAAACACATTAAATAATGTTTTCAGTTTTTTCTTACTTCCTTTTTTTGTTTTTATTTTCATTCGGTTAATCTCACAAAAATTTTACTTTCGGTAACAAAAAAAAAAAAATTACAATTGTTATTGCTTTAAAAAACGCAAAAAATGAAAATTTCACAAAAACTAATTTTGGTTTATTTCAAAAATAAAATGTATTAAAACTTTGCATTTCTCTAACCCCTCCTCCAGCCGAAAAATATAAATTGGAAATGTAAACAATGGTATATCGTATAAACAACTAACCCTTATCTATCTAACAATTGTTTAAACAAGTAAAAAATCATAGTTTTTTTTACACAACATAACGCAAAAAAGTAAACTGTTTAGTTTTTAGTAAATACGTATATATAACTAAATATATATATAGACATTGGAACTATGTATTCTATTTTATTAATAATAATAATAAAAAACCTCCTTAATAAAAAATCCACATACCTACCCCCACACACAACACTATACACTATCCCCACCATTTAGTTTTTTAGTATTTGTATTTGAATCATAAGTATATAATTTGAAATCATATACCTAATTAATATATATAATAAAACAAAAAAATCGTATGCTTTAATATTAAAAAACACATTATTATATATATATACATAATATTTAAAAATAAACATAATAATACATTTGATGTTAATTAAATAAAAAATAAAAAACACCTTATATTATTTTAAACACTGTTACAAGCAAAAAATGTGGAAATACAGTCGAATCTCCGCTTAATTGAAAACTCCGGTTAATTGAAAAAAAAAATGTTTGAAACTAATAATTCCTTAAATTTTTCACACCTCTCCGCTTAATTAAATATATATATATATACAGGGGGCTCCAAAAAAATGTATACACACTTTGAACCTCTGTAGGAAATTTATTTACCGTTCTATAAAGTTAAATTTCAGGAAAATAGATAACTGAACGTCCAATGCAAATGAAACATAAATAACAAATGTTAATACTGTTCATATTGGTGACCTGCTGCAGCATCTATACAATTCTGAGTACGAGCCACCACTGATTCTGTACATCGTATCAAAACGTCCAATGAAATTTCTCTACACATTGCTTGAATCTCATTCCAAAAGATGTTTAGGTTACGTGGTTTACGTTTGTACACCTCATCTTTTACTGTGCCCCACAATAAGAAATCCAGTGGTGTAAGGTCTGGTGAGCGTGCTGGAAACTCGATTGGCCCCCTGCGTCCTATCCACTGGCCCGACAAATTTTGATCCAGGTAAGCTCGTACGTGTCCCATGTTGATATTACAAATTCCAACTAATAATATAAAATAGAGGGACAATTATGCTGGCACATGGCGAAGAAATATATCATTAGTCTTGTAGAGCGGAAAAACTACAAGAGTTTAAGGGGACCCCAATTCTTGGTGTCAACATTTTTTTTTTATTTAATTTGAAAGTGTGTATACATTTAGTTTGAAGCACCCTGTATATGCAATGAATTTTGTCAACGTTAGTTTCACATTGTGGCTAATTTCCGGAACATTGGCTAACAAATACAAAAATTCTGACCCTATATAGACCAAAATAAAATGGAGGAGTTGGAGTTCAAGTTTAAAGCTATTGAAGCTATTGGAGTGAAAATTCCTTCTTTTTTGGACAATGCAGCCAATCAAAAAGTAGTTAGAATTTAAATGTTGTATTTTTTCGAGCAAATACAACGTCATTAATTCAGCCAATAGATTAGGGGATCGATCTTTTAAATGTCAATACCAGAAGAGCAGTTTACCAAAACAACTTCTGCATTTAGAACATGGATTTTTTTCTTTGGAACAATTGTCAAAATAATGATATACTTAGGGAGTGGGAATTGGTGAAATGGTTAAAAAAAAAACTGGATTTATTTCTGGTATTTCAATAACAGATTTATCGAACTCTGGGTAAATTAAAACTATATCCTTTATCCGGACTTTGCATTATTGAAAACCTCGGATAATTGAAACAAACTCCCAGTGTTTGACAACTTTCAATTAAGCGGATTAGGAATGTAGCCGTTTTTTGTCAGAGTTAAAATTCTCCCTAAAATAATGCGATTAAGGGTCAAAATAACATTCGTACATTTTCACAAAAGAGGAGCTAGGGTTTACAATAAACATTGTCAAATAATAATTGAAAACATGATTATGAATCTTTTAAAAGAACTCAAAAATTGTCAACATCACTTTTACACAAAACAATCGTTGTCTGTGAATTCCTGTAAAGTTGTTTTATCATTGAATCTTTCTCTATACTACCTATCTTCATGATATAAAAAAATTAGAGAAACCGTTTAAATTACTAATATATTATAGATTAATATAGGAATTCCGATAGAGGAATTTAAAACGAAAACTTTGCAGAAAACGCTACAAAGAGATCAAACTATTTTGTGACTTTCATTTAAGAACATACAGCCCAATCATGAATATGCGATAGGAATTAGATCCTCAAGGACAATATTTTTTTTCTCGTGGATAGGATCCTCCGATCATGAATAACTCGAGAAAAAATATATGTAAATATGGCATCACTTATGAGCCTTTTTAGCACCTTCTGTACCCTTTATTATATGCCGAATATCATTTTCTTCTTTTTCTTTAAAATGTGAAAAGTGATAATATAAATATACTTACTTACTTAGCTGGCTTGTGACAGAACTTTCGTTCCATAAGCCGAGCTTAGAAAAGATTGGCAGGCGCGTCGGTCTTTTGCGCAGTTTTTCCTTTGAAAGACCATTTTCGGCGATATTGTCTTCGACTTGATCTTTCCAACGTATTCTTGGCCTTCCCCTTCTGCGTGAACCATCAGATGGTTCGCTTTTATACGGGGCATCTTCATCCATTCTCACAACATGACCTAGCCAACGTAGTCGCTGCAGCTTAATACGTCTAACAATGTCGATACGTCTAATGTCATCTACAGGTCGAAAACTTTTTGTATAGAAATATTCCAGATCAATTTAAAATACATCGCAAAGAAGATGGATTTTCAATCAAGAAAATAAATATCTTGGAATTTATATTTCCATCCTCTATACATGGAGGACTTTCTGAATAACTTTTTTGGGTAGGGAAAAGGCCGAATTATGTTTGAAACTTTCAGTTGTGGAAATATAAAAGTTTCTCATTATACCTTCCTATTAACGAAAGGGGATTTTATACTACGTTTTAAATGTCTCCTCTAGGCAAGAAATTAGATTTAGTTACTGCTGACAACCTTTAAATCGCTTCAAAACTCAAAAATTACTGAAATATTTTCTTGGTAGGAACTCAATCGAATTCCATTACACAGGACTCGACTGTAGCACTGTTTAAAAAAGAAAATCCCTAGAGATAAAGAAAAAAAATTACGTATTTTATAAAAAATAATTATTAACCCAATTAATTGTCATCAATAAAATTAGTAATGCGATACAACACACATACATTCGATATATTAGTATCGTTAGGACCCTCCCATAAAAAATAGGGAAATAAATTATGCGGTTTTTATTTTGTATTAATTGATTACGTCGTTTGTTTGTTTGTCGTATCCAAAATAATGTGTAGTGTAAAACATTGTAATAGTGTACTAATAATTATTTAGTATTTAGTTATGTTTTTAGTATTTACAGTAATATTAACAACAACAAAAAAGAGGAAATTATAATGTAATTATTAATAATGAATGAGTACGCGTACATAACAGACAAATCAAATATATACATAGAAATTGGAATGTGTTTATTTATTTATTTTTTTTTTTTTTGGGAAAATTCAGAATTTACTTTTTAGTGATGTATGT